CTATCACCAGGTAATTACGCAACCACTTAACAATCTTCTTCTGTCCTTCGAACACAAACGCTGCGCCTCTGCCCATGTCTTCGTAAAAGTACACACACTACCGCAATACAGTGAAGAAAGAACGAACGAACCAGGGTGAATTAGTGTGCGCATTGGCAATACGTTATCCATGTCTTTCCATGTCTTTATACAAGTACACACACTGCTCACAGTATAGTAGGATAGAAACGAGATAGGGTGAACTAGTGTCGATATTACCAATACGTCATCCTTATCATTAAACAGAGACACACACTGCTCACAGTATAGTAGGATAGACACGAGATAAGGTGAACTAGTGTCGATATTACTAATACGTCACCCTTATCATTAAACAGAGACACACACTGCTCACAGTATAGTAGGATAGACACGAGATAGGGTGAACTAGTGTCGATATTACTAATACGTCATCCTTATCATTACACAGGGACACACACGGCTCATGGTCTCAAACTTGAGATAGGGCGGATGGTGCATTAATGTGTACATTAAGCCATCCATATCGATGGACAGGTACACACACGGCTCACAGTACAAAACATCAGACAGGAGCGAAGGGACGATGAGTGCAGCCGCCAGCATTACGCTCAACCCGACTGCGTGTGAGTACAAAGACTACCACAGCCCAGTGCCAGAGTGTGACCAAACAGACAGTGGATGCGGGTATTAGTGGTAATCTGGTGTGCGAGTGCCAAACGACTGGGGACAGGGCAATCGGCTGAACTGATGGGGTCTACAACAGACCAATTTTGACCAAATAGCCATTGGTGGTGGGCGGCAACGCGTCTCCCCAACGCAGGATAGATCGGACAAGGAAGCCACGGAATAAAAACATGTCACCGCACACATAAACATAGACATGGCCACTAACCTCTGGGCGAGCCATGACCATACTGCCTGTGTTGGATATAGTGGCGCAATTGAGCCCACAGCCCTGTTCCTCCATCAAACCTGGGTGCGGGACAGAGGTGTTGAGGACAAGTTCAGGGCTTAGCTCAGGTCGGTTACACACGGGAGTACTCAGAGCGCGCGGGGGTTTGGTGTTTTTATATATATATACATATATATATATATACCGCCTGTTGAGTGCATGCAAACGGATACACCTGCGAATTCAATCCGGTGTGTGTGCGTGCTACATCCAATTGCGCTGGTCAGAGCGTGTGTGTGTGCGTAGTCACACACTCGGCCATCATATGCCTTTTTGTGTATTGTTTGTATGTCATGTGTACTGCTAACACGGGACTATACAATACACCCAACAACACCTCACAACAACATTGCACTAAACATCAATGCTACCCCACTAGGGCTGGTCTACAACGGCGGGCGGGAGTGGTATGGGCAATGACAACCTATCTTTGACTCAGGCGTGGGTTCGGTTGCGTTTGTAGGTCGTATTGATGCAACCACGTTGATTTAAAAATAGACTAAAACAGACCGTAAATGATCCAAGCCAGTCTATAAATAGACCGAATCAGTTTATAAATAAACCCCAAAGGGCCAGGGTGTGATGATGGTTTGTAGACTACCCATTTTATAAGTATCGTGCCCTTGTTCCTAGCATTGGTCCCATCCAGTAGATAGATAGACAACACAGCCAATAAATATTCCTTTTTGGTCTGTCAATAAAAAGACACAGCCTATAGATAGACCTACACAGTCTATAAATAGAACCAAACATAGCACATGGAGCACACACTATGGTGTGGTGATAGGTACTGGATAACTCACCTATTGGTATCGTGCCCTTGTTCTTAACATTGGTCACATCCAGTAGGTAGATGGAGTCGGTCGTGACGCAGAACAGATGCACCGTTCCTCTTTTATTGTCCGTTGTGAAGCCCAGCCCGGTGACGGGGAACTCGGTTTCTAAAACAATTCGCCTGGGTCAATAAGCGATCGAGCACGCAACTTATGTCAGTAGCGGCGTCTGGAGAGCGCAAAGACCACATACAGGCAGACAAGTGCTGCAGATGCCCATGCTTTACCTACATCTGGTAGAATTAGACTCCTATTGTATATAAAGCTAGGTAGATCTTTATCAGGTGATGCTAACTAAACCATCCAAATTTGGATTGGCAGGTGCATACTTATGACTTACCCTTTATATGGATGATTTCACATACACGAATGTACACTTCCATATATATACATATATAT